TATAAAAATCAATGTTAAAAAGTCAATGTCAGTATCTTTTTTATATACCAATAATGATCTAGCTGAGATAGAAGTGAGGAAAACAATACCATTCATGATACATTTTTAAAAACTAGAAATCAATCCAAGGACATGAAAGACCTATACAGTGAAATTTACAGAAAACTGAAGAAAATTGAAGACACCTGAAGACGGAATATGAATCAAGCGATGGGTCATATATATGAATCAGCAGAATTAACATGGTTAAAATGCCCATATTGCCTAATGTTACCTACAGACACAATAAAATTCCCATTAAAATTCCAAAGATATTCTTCACAGAACTAGCAAAAACAATTCTAAAATTCATATGGAAACACAAAAGACTCAGAATAGCCACAGCAACCCTAAACAAAAAGAGCAAAGCAAGAGGCTGGTTAACTAAAAAAGAAAAAGAAAACATAAAAGTACTAACACCAGAAATGAAAGAAAAGCCATCCTATTGATTTGGCGGTCCTTATAGGGTAGTAAAGGTCCATGACAAACAGCTCCATGCACACAATTTGATACTACAAATACACGATTAAATCTTGAATGGCACAATCTGCCAACACTCACAAAAGAGCAAGCAATCTGAACAGGCCCATACTTACCGAAGAAACTGAATTACTAATTAACAGAAACAGGAAGCACCAAATTCAAACTGGCTCACTGGTAAATGAATTATTTAAGGAAGAAACTGTACCAAAGCTCAATACTCTCTTCTGGAAGATAGAAACAGAAGGAATAATTCCTAACTTAGAAGACCAGCATTCCAATAATACGTCAACCTGCCAAAAAGTAGAAACTGCTGTCTCTCGGGAACATGGCAAAAAATTCACAGCCAACATGCATAGCAGGAATTATTCACTACAACCAAGTAATACTCATTCCAGGCTGTTTCAACGTGCAGACATCAATTAATAAAATCCGTCACAGCGACAAGATAAAGAAAAAGAACGTTTATTGCGATGTCATTTTTGTTTGGTTTTGGTTTTGGTACTGGGGATCAAACCCAGGTCCTTGTGCTTGTGAGGCAGGCTGCGGAACCACCGAGTTGCATCCCCGGCCCAGTTGCAATGTTATTTATGGAGGCAAATCCTAGACAGAGCTGATGCTACAGGGGACACATTTCACTGAACAGATTATGGTAAAGCCAAGTAAAAAAGTACAGCACATACATTAAAATGTTACTTTCTGTAGTCACCTAGGAAAATACCCAGAGTTGTGCACAAAGCAGTCAAATTTCAGAATAATGTACATCATACGATGCCATTTTTCCGATCATCACAGCATTATGAGCGCAGAGACAGAGCAGAAATCTGAACGCCAGCAGGAGCTAGAACTGTGTGAGGAGAGGAGGAGGAAGGGAAAACAGCTTCCCTTTGCACACCTCTGCCTGCTCTGACTGGAATCAAGGCCGTGTGACTACAAAGTCTGCAGGAGAAAGTCACAGAGAACCGGAAGGAGAAAGGGAGAACTACCCCAGCTGGGGCAGACTCCAACTAGAGAGAGCCCTTCCAGGCGGCACAAGGGGCTGGCCTAGAAACCATCACAGCGAAACATCCGTCCAGACGTACAGCACCAACCTGTCTTCTCTGCAAGAGCTCATGTTTCCTCCATGAAGAAGCACAGCAAGTCCTTCTTCAACAGAGGCGATTCTCGCCAGGACGCCAGCCACGTGGACTAAAGTGGTTTCTGAGCAATCTGGAGCCGCCTGCGCATAAGAAGTAACAAGACAAATCATGTAATTCTATGTCACACCCAGGGTGGATGTAGTCTAATAAAGTTATCACCACCACCACAATTTCTTTGGCTGCGAAATAACATGCCTCAGACTTCAATCTTTTACTGGAAAGGCTGGTAGGAAAAACAGATTCAGGTTGCTCATGCCGGGTGCTCGTTGCAGGCAGCTGCTCCAGGTTAGCAAGCGCAACACCTCACCTGCCTCCTCTCTTCCCTATGACTCTGGGCACCTGACACTCACGGCACCCAGTGACCGTCCTGCCTGGGCCCAGGGAGGCTCTCCCTGCACACAGGTCACGGCCAGCTTCCTCACCCTGTCTCCGAGTGGAGGAATCCGCACCTCTGCCCAGACACGGAAACACAGCACAGGACCATCTGTGAAGCCGAGAGCCCTGCGGATGCTGGAGCCAGCCCGCAGAAACCCCTGCGCCTTCACCTCTGCCTGCCTCTCCCCCGTGAGCGCTGCCGATGCTCCTCCGGCACGAGTCGGGACGTTCACGGTGCCACAGCATGCCCAGTAAGTCTGTCAGTCAGCTCACCAGTCAGGCGTGTTCGCCTAGGGATGTGGATATGGACAAGAATGCCCCGCCAGCACACGAGGTAACCTGTTACTTCGCACACTCTGAGGGGCTTCCTAAAATCCCTTTAACCTAGGTGCCTTTCCTTCTCTCACCGCGCATGCACACACACCTGAGAAGAGGCAACGTTCTCTAGCACAAACACACATGTGATTGTTGAAGCTTCTGCTCCTCATAGGAATAATTTTCGTGTGCAGCCTGCCCTTCCTCCTTCCCACTCGGTCTCTGTGGCAGCAGCCAGTGCAGAGCAAGGACACGCGGCTGCGCCCAGCAGGTGACCGCACTGCAGCTGAGAAAACGTGGCTGTGTGCGCAGGACGGGCCTCACCGCGGGAGCAGGGACAGCTGAAGCCCCTCACTCTGCGGGGAAACTGGAGAATACTTCTGGGATTTTGCGGCCCAGGGGAGAGGGCACTCACAGGGAGGTACGACGGCCTTGTTTAGAAAAAGAGCGTGTCCTGTTAAACCGGGACCGATGGGAAACAAAACAGGACAAAAACACTGAAAACCTGGTAAATGCCAACTTGAAATTTCTGAAATTTATCCAGCAAACAACAAGCAGGAAAGCATGTGATGGCCCATTGTAGCGTGGGCGTCAGAGACAGAACCAGTGGGGACCTGCGCAGCAGGTACAGAGGCAGGAACTTGCAGGTTGCCGGGACACAGAAAGCTGAAGCCACGGGAACAAAGGGGCACACAGACAGACAGCAGGACCAGCACAGGCACCAACTCTGCCCCTGGCAAAGTCCCCTTGAACAAGTAGCTTCCTGCCAGGGGACATACACATCTGTCCCGAACCAGCTGGGTCAAGGTCTCTGAGGTAGCACTAGCTCTTCCAATAAAACACACTGGCTGTTGGGGGAATAACTGTATTTTCCAAACTATAAAACTGCCATTGAAACAAATAAAAAGGAATACACAAGATTTATATTTGCAAGACAAAACTCTCTAAGTTCTTCGCATCAGCAGATCTTTCCTGACTGGAAAAAACACTAAGATGTCGGACGCACACCCACTTTGTCGTCACTGATAAACCCATCACCTGCAGAACTATGATTTAACAAATAAAAGTCGCTATCAGCGTTTGGAAGTCCGTGTAAGAAGACATTTCAAATGTATCCAAAACAAGTCCCACTGCACATTCACCAGCACCCGGGGCTCTCGGGAAGCAATACCGACCTCGCTGCCGTTCGTTAGGTTGCGAATCGGCTGCAGGAGCGCACTGATCACGGTGCTGCTGTACAAGCATTGGATGGCACACTCCTGATCGCAGAGAATCTGCAGAACTCCCGTCACCACGCTCGCCGGGGAGTAGTCCTCTGAGAAACAAAGTATTTTGAAAAGTCAGGACTGAAAACACGGACAGTGACCGCTGCTTTTAACTATGCGTGAGCCACTGGTGCTCCATAAAGCTAAGGCGCACACATCCCACCGCTCAGCGCCCAAAGGCGAGCCGCACCAGTGCAGCCAGGATACGACCTCCACGCCATATACCTTCAAGCTAATAAAAAATAGCAAAGGGCAAAAATATCGGTGCTGAATGATGAGACTACAAGAGCTTTCACGGGCTGCTCTCAGAATACTGCCTGAGAGTATGCGGTCTGGAGCAAGCCCGTGCCCTCCTAGGAGACATTTCCACCGAGTCCACGCTTGTTCTCCTCCCACATAACAACCTGTGCAGCTATAGCGCCCGGGAGAAGCCTAAGAGGGACTTCAAGCAGAGACCACAGCCCAAAAGAAGAGCGAGGAAAACAGAAACTCACAAAATTCCATGAAGTCAATATATTCCTTGTATTATCACAAAAAAGCAAGGGGCATTTATAAGATTTTCTTTCAAAGGACGAGTGAAAGAAGCACAATACATACAAGTGTTGCATGATTAGAGCAGTCACCACAGTGAGTGTGATTTTTAAATATCCTCACAAGTCCTAACAGCAGGACTGGGCTGGCCTGAGGTAACACCGGAACTAGGAAAGTCCTTCCTTGAGTCACAACGGTCCACACCCACACACAAGGTGACCAGTAAGTCAACATTGACCAAAGGCAATGGAAAAAGACAAGGCAGTGGATTTTTCAGTCAGCTCTAGAGAAGAACCCTCTTTGCCAGGAGAGGAATCACTGACATCAAGCAGCTAGTGATCCACTGCTTGGGCATCGCCTCCTGGTGCCCGCCATGTGGACCATCACGGCCCGCAGGCAGAGAGGACAGCACTAACAGTCCACAGCGACACAGCAAAATGCAAGCAACTAACTGTGACAAAGGAAGGGCCATTTGTTCACAAAAGCTGGTTTAGAAGCATTAGCAAGGGCTTTACACTAGAACTCCACGCACTGTTAAAACCAAAAACTATTGCTGCGTGGATAAAACCTGCTAGCTGGCATGTACTTCACGGCATTAAGAAGAGCCGAACCGCTGTTTGCTCTGACTGCTTGAGCTCCCCTGAGAACCGAGCCAAATGCAATTCTAGAGGCAAGCTGGGTGTCTGGTATTAAGTGTTTTACTTTGGGAATGTACTGGTATTCAAAGAAACTTTTTTCTAGTGTAACTTTTAAATGTTAATATTTTAATACATTTTTATGAGGCACTCAGCAGGCATAAAACTGAAAAGCACCTTACAGAAAAAATGAAATTTTGTTTTCCTTTACTCCTCCATGAGAGTAAGGAAGATCAAAGTCTTGGACGTGAGCCACAACAGGCAACATGAAACATCCAGGAAAGTACAGAGGACAGAAACTGCCAGAAGAGAATACATTAGTATCCACCAACCAGACTTTCCACAAGACTCTGATCGTTGGTACAGAATAACATTCATGGTCTCTGTGAAACGGAGCCTAAATGCAAAGGTGAGTGGACCCAAGGCATCTTACACCTGTGAGCAGTGAAACTTCAGGGCTCACTTCAGTCCCGACATATTTCTTAGGAGCAATACTGTGTTTAAACAAAACTACGTGCCAAACTACATCAGGCATTGCAAAAAAAAGAGACAACTGGATCCTTAAGTACCTCGGATGCTGTTACTTTTTCTACTCAAAACAGGGCACGATTACCTGAACATACGTCTGGCGTCGTGTCTGGACGGCTTGGGGAGTAATAGATGAGCTGAGTAAACAGAACCAGCAGATCCGTAAGGGACACGGAGTCTTCACAAAGGGAAAAGAGAGAAAATTAATTCCTAGCATTCGCTTACAACTTAGGAAACAAATGCGTCCCATTCACCCCGTGACCACATTACAGTTCCTACAAAACTCAGTCACTGGGGTGCCTCTGGTCCAAGGCAGAAGCCTCCACAGCAGTCAGGCGCCGAGCGTTCAGGAAGGCACAGTGGGCACAGTGACAGCACGTGTGAGGCAAGTGACACTGGGGCTGCAGTGGGAGACACCGAACCTGACCGTGGCTGTCTTCACGGGACCAGGAGCCCTGAGGCGCGGCTTCGTTTGCAGCCCTGCTGAGTGGGGTCGGCGAACTTTCCCTGTGCAGCAGGATGGTGAACATCTCAGACTCTGCAGCCAGACTGTCTGCCACACAGTCCGTTCGGTGCCACAGCCCGGGGCAGACACAGACAAGATGCAGGAGGACAGCCATGTACCAGTAAGGCTCCGTGCGCACTGGAGTCTAACGTCACACGTGACGGAGCAGTCCACTTTTCTTGGACAATACAAAACACGGCAGTCCTTCTAAACTCACGAAGCCGGGGCAGGCCAGGGTGGCCAGGTGTGGCCACGGGCAGCGCTTCCAGGCCTAGCACGCGGGCTCGGGCCCAGATCTGAGGAATAGGCAGAGACTGATGGCGATGCCACCTCCACACCTCAGCGCACTCACAGACGCATGTGACATTTGGGAGCCGCAATTACAGGCCCTGAAAGCCTACAGGAAATGTTCAGTCAGCTGTGGGTGACAGACTTGCAAAGTCACGCTGGATACCGGCGAAACGTCAGAAGTGTGCATCATCGTTGTATTTCTGCAAAGTTCAGCGGAGCCCCATAAAATGAGTCTTTGGTCGGAAGTTGGCTCTAGGGAGTGCCCAGGGTCCTGGGATGATGGGGTGCTTCGAGGAGAACGAAGGCAGCTCAGGAAGCTCCTCATCAAGCAGGAAGCACAGATGAAGCAAATGAAACCGGACAAACGAGTATGAAAAATGTACATACAACAGGGTCGGCACACTGCAGCCCTCTGATTCCGTGAGGCTCAAAAGCAAAGGATGAACTGTACCTTTTCAAATGTGTCAGGGGTCTTCACAACCATGCTCAGAGTCAGTGACTCACCGGGCAGACTGAGTTCCACACTCACACAAAGCACTCCAGCAACAGCAGAGGGAAAGGGCACAAACCTGGAGCAACCCAGCCCGAGCGTTTCCGGGGCCTCTCCAGTGCAGTCACACAGAAGAATTCACGTGTGAAAGACCAGCCCCCAGGAGCGCAGGGGAGGCCCGTGCCCAAGGGTCACGCTGAGCGCTGAGCACATAAGCTCCCACGGCCCAGCACAGCCAAAACACCAACCTCCCCAGGGACAGCAGGTGCACAGCACAAACCACACTTCAGGCAGCACGGGCACCAACAGCTCAGCACCGAGACCCCCAGCCCCTGGGGCAGCTTTCTAACGATGGTGCACGCAGGCCTGCAGTGTGAGCTGTGTCACAGACCCATGCGTCTACCCACAGGACATACAACAGACGCAGGGTACGGCTCTACATGCTCCAACAGTTACTGTCTGGTCCTACACAGAAAAAGAACTGACAACTCTGAGTTATTCTATGCTATATTGCTAGTGTACATTAAAGTTTGAAGGGAAATAAGAGTACCTAACACTGTCTGTTGAAGTTTGACTGGTAAAAATTAAATGAGACTTACAGTAAAACTACAGTGGTGATACCGCAAATGATACAGGCTGTGTGCTACTTATGAACAATATTCTCAGTGATCACAAAATTCCCTATGTCCAGCATCACCAGTACTATTATTCTCCTTTATGGATTAAAAATGAAAACATGGTGAGTAATGTGCCAAAAGATCACAAATAATTTACAAAAGCCACAACTTAAGTGAGATTGTCGAGCTTTATATCCAGAACTGATCATCAAGTATGTCTAGCATTTTGAAAGGCAGAGAGAAATAAGAAAAGCATTAAGTGCTAGGAGAACGGAAAACCCTACACATGTAGAAAGAGGTACGTACTGAAATCTCAGAAACAGTCCTCCCCAGGAGCAAGCCCTGCTGCACTCGGTCAGGGCCACTACAGGGCTCCACCGAGGCCATCGCCACACACTCTCTGGTCCCCTCTGCTCGCTGACCTCACCAGGCCCCGCCTCTAGCGCCCAGCCTGCCGCGGTGCCGCACTTGGTCACCGGGACTGGACCTGGCTGGAGGCACAGAGCGGGGAAGGAGGATAAGGACGGACGCAGGGACCCAGATGTGAGTTACTGTAATGGAGAAAGGAGAAGCGTGCAGGGTCGACCTGGGTGCGATGACACTGCTGTGGTGTGCACGGCTCAGCTGTGTGCTGACGGGGTCCAGCCCCGACCAGGCAGAGAGGCACAGCGATAAGAGAGACAGTGAAGGAGGATGACAGGGGACATCCACAACGATGGCCAGCAGATGCCGTTCCAGAAGATCCTGAACACACGACCGAGGAACAGTTCGCTTCTGCATGGAGTCAGCGCATGGCCTGACAGGCCTCGGTGACACTCGTTACATGAATGCTTCCGTTCTGCGCACTGGTCTGTGCCTGACCTCAGAGAGGCCCTTCCCGGGAGCTCAGCACAGCTCCTTACCAGCACCTTAGAGGTCTGATCCCATGGACAAAACTCTAGCACTCCACCTGTTGTTCCACTGCGGTTTTCACATGGCTTTCCCAGTTCGCAGACACAGGTGAGCAAGAGCAGCATCTCCAATGGGGCCTACTGCACGCTGGGTACAAATGACGCAACCAGGGCAGCAGAAACTGGAAGCCACCGAGGACGGTTCTGTTAGACTCTTCATCTGTGTCGGCTAAAAAGAACTGACCAGTTCTTCGTTGTTGATGCTGAGTTTGAAACTACCACGAAATGTACAGAACCTGAAGATGAAGTCACTGAAGGAAAGGAAAAGCAGCTGCAGCCTCGCTGTCTTAGTAATTAGAAGTCTCTTTTCATGGGACTTCAACTGCGGCTTCAGGAAGAAATCACCAGTCTCTGGCATTGCAAAGAAATGCTCTGCACATCAGATCTGATGCTACATTTCCCCTAGTGTCAAACGTGTACGAGCTCTGTACACCTGAACTGCAAGAGAAAATGGTCCCTTTTCCACCAAAATTCAAGGACACAGAAGATAGAGAAAGTGAATCAGCAGCCAAATACACAGGACACGAAGTGCAGATGCCAGAGAGAGGTTAAACATGAGCCTGACCACTTGCTGAGGACACAGACTCCAGGGCCTGTGGGCTCCGTGACCTACGAGCACAGCTCGTGCACCAGCCAACGTCGAGTTGTTCCGGTGAAAAGCAAACAGGATGAGCAGATCGAGTCTGACCACGAGAAGGTCCGCACGGTCACACAGAAGATGCCCTGGGCTTCCTGGTGGCAGAGACGGTAACATCGCTTACGTTCTACACCAGGGGCCACGCAGAGCCGACATAAAGGAAGAGGGCAGTGACCTACTAGGCTGTTTACACAGAGGTGTAAAATAGATGCTGTTTGTGGACCACTTCTATAACCCAGAGCTTCTGAGGACAACGGCAGGTGGTCTTCTCTCTCTCCTGTACGTGGAGCAGCAGAAGGCAGAAGCAGACCACTCGTGCCTTACCCTAAAAGGGATGGGAAGAACGCTGCCTCTGCAGTATGCTGCCCGCTATGAAGATAGTGAGCAGCTCGTTTTTTAATGATCGCATTAATTTTGTTTTAAGTTCTTAGTTGAAACAACGACCATTACCACCCGTGATAATCTTCCTCGCCTCAGCCCTCGGGTCAGCAATGATGTTTACCGCACAGCCGTTCCCCACTGTTTGTTCTTGCATGGTCCATGTCACCATCCAGTGGCTGCCCATTCTCTGCCCTATCCAACGGTGGAAAAGGCCATGTGGCTCTCAATGAATAACTCAATGCTGCTGCACACACCATGAAACACGGGTGCGATCAAGTACTTGTCCAGCCTGAACCATTGCTGGCTTTTCAGGACTTTTAAATAAATTGTGATCAATGAATTACAAAAAGAAAATCCTTTGTAAAGCAAAGCCATATGCAGCCTGGTACCCTAGCAGACAACGGGCCCAGTCCCCAAGTGCGAAGAACCCACAGCACACGACCCTAACCGTATCTCACCACATTCACCTCCCTGACTGCACTCACCGTTTCTATTCTTCAACTTTACAGGAAACAGTTTTCTGCCTTGTGTATAGATCAGTAATCTTCCCAAAAGGCACAGTGAGTGAATGAAATAAATATACTGTACTTCTTGTCCTGAGTAGTAGAGAGTTTTCTGTTTTTCCCCTTAAGAAAAAGTAAACAAGAACACTGATTAGTGTGGCACCTCACAGCAGCTGCCTCTGTGCCCTTCTGGACCTCAAACAGGGTTGTGGTCTATGATGGAGGCACCGCTGGTATAAACTGTTTTAAATTATCTCCTTTATCATCTCCTAAGATCCTTTACACCACATCTGAGGAGACGCAGTCATAATAACATTGGCCAAAGTCAGAAAGGGATAATGTGTATCCATGTTCATTCTAAATCACCATAATACTGGGCTGGGGATTTAGCTCAGTGGTTCTGCTGCCTGTCTCACAAGAGCAAGGTCCCGAGTTCAAGCCCTGGTACCAAAAGCAGCCCAAAAACAAAACAAATAAATTAAACAGCTTAAAATGGCCAGTTACCATCTCCCAACAGAAAGGGACCTTAGAAGTGAAGAGAGGGAGGGAGTCACAGAAAATGCCACTGCCTGATGCTTCCAATTAAAAGCCCACTTAGGTAAATCTACACCAGTAACCCATGATCCCCAAAACTCTGAAATCTGAAAAACTTCAGATCCCAAGCACGGAAGATAAGGGTATGAGTCTGTATATGAAAGACCACATCTAAACCGTGTCAGCTTTCTCCAACATGGACGTCTTCCTCTACGTTCTCCACGACCCACTGGCAGGATCCTGTATAAAGCAGACACTAGAGAGACCTTGAATGAGAAATCCCATTAACGTTAGCAAAAATGATTAAAAATGGGAGACAGATTAAAAAAATGAAAGTCACTTGTCCTAGGAGTGCACATGGAGAGTGGGGGGATGAAAACCTCAATTCCCAACTTAGTGTCTCAGAACAGGGAAAACTCCTCCTACTAACGTCACTCTGATGAACGAAGGTGTACAAGGAGAGGAGACAGACCCCGGCCCGATACTGTACTTCTGAAGAGCTCATGCAGGACACAAGTGTGTCGGTCCAAAGGGACGTGCAGTCAAATAATCAGTCACCATTCACAAGGAAATACATACAGAACTTGGAATCAGAACCACGACTGGGCTCTCCCAGTGCCGAAAACAGCAAAGGGCAAAGAGCACACACACAGGAGGGAGAGGGACAGCGCTCACTGGAAGAGAATGGCGGCACAGGAGGAGGACGGATCCTCGCGGGAGGAAGACAGAAGGTCCAAGAGCAGCAGGACAGGAAGGCGCCCCCAGGGCCGGGAGTAGCGGGCCGGTGTCTGCAGCTGTGCCCTCTACGGAGCCGGGAGGCAGCCCAAGCACGCAGGGTCAGGCACCACTGAAGGGAGGCGGAAGAGCCAAGAAATGACTTTGCAAAACAGAAGGCAGCACAGCAAGAGGGCAGGCAGGCAGATCACACCGGAGCTCTTCCTGGAGAGCAGCGGGCAGGGACACGCAGGGAGCCGGAGGGGACAGCGGCCTGGGAGAGCTCAGAGGGGCTGGGGACAGCGAAGAACGGACCCTCCGAGGACGCCGGGCAGCCCAGGGAGTGGCTGGGATGGGGCACCCAGGCCCCCAGTCCCCTGGCGCCAGGAGGAGGACGGAGCTGACCCAACCGGGCCGGGAAGCATGGCAGGAGCGGAGAGACCGAGACCGGCCAGGCAGGCGCACAGGGCCACTGCGATGGGCCAGGGTCTGAGCCAGGCCTCACCCAGATGCGCGCCAGCTGTTCTGTCCGAGGAATGAACTCCAACCTCCCCACGGCCTCCTCTACCACAAACACCAGCTTTCAAACTCTCACTGTTGGCCTCCGACCATTTCCTTTCCTTTGTTACGAAACTTACTTGGGATGAACTACTCTGTAAGACATCGTCACACTTTCAGAATAACTTGTGTGGGAAAATCCTATAAAAACAATAGAACCATAAAAGAGCCGGGTTCCCAAGTTGTGAGAAGTACGCAAAAGAAAAAGAAAAATGTAAAATACCCAGTTTTCTGGGGCATTTGAAGTAAAGGTGATCTTTCACAGTAAGTAAGGGATCCTGAGCACAAGAAGCTTTGGACAGAGCAGTGGGCGGGTGAAGGTGCTGGCGAGGAAGAGAATGAGTGAAAATCCACGCTCATCACGGCCAGAGACTGGACAGAGCGGAGGGCTGCAAGTGAGGCACCGGGCCGTCGGCTCAGACCAGGGGAGGACAGGGCAGAGCCGCACACAACAGCCGAGACCGCACTGGACACCCACAAAGGGCAGGGTGCTACCACGTGGGGCAGGGAGGAGGCCGGGCAGAAGTTGAGCATCAGGGCCAAGTCAGACAGGGCACAGAAAGCTGTGCTTACAGTGTATCCTTTCCGTCTATGAGACATACTTTACATCACTCACAAAAGGGTCTAATTTAAGTAATTTCTGCCAGGCATGGTAGCACACGCCTGTAATCCCAGCACTAGAGAGGCTGAGGCAAGAGGATCGCCATGCATTCAAGGCCAGACAGCGGTACACAGTGAGTTCAAGGCCAGCCTAGCGCCTGACTCAAAAAAATGAAAAAAAATAAACAATTTCTAAGCTATTTCTATTAATAAAATTAACCGTCTTTAAAAATATGTAACAAAAAGAATAATACTTACCACAATGGTTGGACTGTCCCAAAATTAAACCAGCTTTCACGGTCTCACACAATTCCAAGTACTGAATACACTGCTGGACTGCTGCTGCTACCTGATAAAACAATAATTTTCCAAGAAATTTACACCCTATTCATTCAAGAAATTAAAAAATTAGTAAAGGCAGTAAAAATACTAAAGAAGAAATATTCAAAATACTGCCTTTCAAGACTCTGAAGCTTAGCCCCACCAATGAGTGTCACGTGGCGCCACTTTGGGGGATGCTGTGGAAAACACGGTCACAGCCCCGTCGTCAAGGTGCAGAATAAGCAGATGATTTAACCCATGGAGGCACACACCTGTGACCCCAGTTCTCCGGAAAGCTGAGACAGGAGGACTGCAAATTCCAGCCCCGCTATCTCAAAATAAGAAAAGGCCTGGGGATATAGCTCAATGCATAGGCTCTGGATTCAATCTCCAGTACCAAAAGGAAAGAAAAGATACAAACAGATATTTTAGGGCTGGGGATTTAGCTCAGTGGTTCCTCTGCCTGCCTCACAAGCACAAGGACCTGAGTTCAATCCCCGGTACCAAAAAAAAAAAGAGAAAGAAACAAGTAATTTATATCTTAGTGAAAGATGGAAAAATGCAGTGACCACAATTTTTAAAACTGCTGCCTGATTTCCTTGCTCTGGAGTACTTCCTTCCTCACTGGAATCAGCCTTCGCTTCCACCTCAGGGAACTCATGAAGAGAAACGCCAAAGTTCAAAGAGCAGAGTCACAATGCAGAACAACTGTGACTCCCCTCTGAGGCCCACACACTAGCCTTTGACCCTCCTGGGCACCCGTCTACTTCCTACAGATGCCTCTAAGTCTGGTTTTCAAACAAAACGGAAGCCACCGAGAACGAGAACTGGTAACCGTCCGCCGTGGGCATAGGAAACCGCTGGAACAGTGGAGCGGTCAGCTTCAGGGAGCCTGGTGAATACACGAAGCTCTGAATTAGTTCTTCCATCATCCTGGTCCCAGGGCCAGTTTCTAATAGTGGTGTGCACAGCCAGTGACCACGCCACAGAAAACACAGATGCCTATTGCTGGAGAGATGTGAAGATCATGGACAAGAAGCTGAGGAAGGAAACGTTCCCACGGCTGCGAGAGTCTCGGGACAGACAGACCCACAGCCGACCCTGGGATCCATTGCACGTGCTCGATCTGCTCCCAGTTCTCAGAGCGAAACCCAGAGAAGTGGATCTTGCAACCATTTTCCTCAGCGTTTCATTTCAAAAACAGAACAAAATTTACTTTGACAAATAAAAATAGCACAAATCACACTTTGCTGTTTTATTTAGGAAACCTTTCTAGAGAAAATGAGGCTTCACATGAAGTCTCACAGAGGTCTGATTCATTACATACATGAAATGTTCATAAAATACTGAGTTGGTTTCAATGGAGAAATTACACCCGCAGCCCGAAATCTCCAACACAGCGAGTATCTCAAACAAGAACCAGGTCTGCAGAGTGAGGGAGGAGGACACAAAACACACCCCCGCTGGTCCCTGGGACAGCAGCAGTTAGCTGCGCCCTGGGGGGTCCCCTTCTCCCCACCAGTAGGAACATCATGTACCACAGGACAACAGCAACTTTTCATTTAAGTGAAAACTTAAAAAACTTGAAAGTTTTTTTGGTTCTTTTGGGTTTTTTTTTTACTACCAAGGATCAAACTCTGGTCCTTGTGCCTGTGAGGCAGTCAGTGGCACCACTGAGCTAAATCCCTGGCCCTTGAAAGTCTTTATTTCAATTTATTTTTTCTAAAAAAGTTTAAGTACCTTTTACCTCTACCAATAAAGTCCCACCCTATTTTTGCTGCTGCTGCTGCTGCTGCTGCTCTTTTCTCAATTATCAAACATAAACAATCATTGTCCTCTTTTGTTTTATGCTCTGCTACTCTCAACCAAAAAACCACAGTACCAGGATCCTTTTACTCACCTAACTTCAAAACTCAGAGTCCTGCCTAACTTCATAAACCACACTTACTGATCCCAGCTTGTAAAGTTATTAGATGTCCTAATAAACTTCATCTGCGCATGTTTGTCAATTACTAACTAGATGAAAAGTGCCCACATACACTGTCCTACTGACAGAATAAAGGCAGATAATGTGAGTGACACGCTCTATATGATTGGTCTACACTCGGCATAACTCAAACCAAATTTTTGCAAATGCACAAGTATTTATCACTCTGAGTTTCTTGTGAAGCTTCCACTCAGATGTACGGGTATACTGTTTAGAAGCAGTTCCCATACTGATGCCTGATCTGAATCACATTACTGTGCGTTCTTCCCTCGAGCTGGCCTGTTATTTACAGCAGCCCAGTGTCCTCTGTGCGCACACATTTCCTGCCACCCCAGCTGATTTCACACTTCCGCGCTCCGCCGTGAAGCTCTCCTGGGACAGTACCCAGGCCCCAAGGAAGGGGGCGACCGCAGCATCGTCACTCGTCACCACTCAGCTTTGCGTGTTCCGCACAGTGCGTCACACGCCGTTCTAGGATCCAACTGCTCAACGTAAAGGCCAGAGTACAGACTTACCAGGGACTTGTATTTCTTCTCAAGAAGTCTCAGCACTGTAGTTCTGCTATAATGTGCATGCTAAAATTAAAGAAAAGCAGTATTTAATATTCAAGCTGTGCCATTCAAAACTTCTTCCTGCATCACTGCCAAAAATATCCTAAAAGACACAATAACTTAGGTTTAAGTTATTATAACCAATGCCATGCAGACTTTTTTCTACGTGCACTGAGTTCACAAGTAGCAATCACAGGAATGCAGATGATACCACAAACCCTGGTATCGTTTAGTGATGGACAAGTAGAAGACACTCTATCCATCGGGGGTCCAATTTCCATGCTGAACCACCATCACCAAAAACAACACAAACCTAACCTAACTACCAGGATACGGCAGGATCCAGAGAGAAGATACAAAAGTAGAACGAGAAAAATCACAAATCTTACACTGAAGACTTGTAGTCTACAAGTACACAATTGGCCACGGATGAAACATGCCAAAGAGACAGTGTCCAATTACACCTTCTGCTGATCACACTCTTAAGTGACTGACAGTGCAAAGAAGCTCTCTCTGCACTCAGCGCTGAAGGTGGCTGGCACTGAAACACATGTACATCTACAGCACTGTACGAGGCCAGGAAATCTGTAAACATTATTTAGCTAAATTATAGCTGATGGCACTAGCATTCCAAATATGATCTATTCGTGTTGCTTAAAAATAGTAAAAATCTTAAACTGTTTGATATTAAATACTAGATAGTAAAACCTATCAGAATTCTAGGGAATGGTTTTTAATTCATTAAACAGTATTACAATTAACTGAAGATCAATCAAAACCCTATGTTTTAATACTGTGGCTTAAAGTATTTTTAAAACCCACGAATCCTTCTTTCCACGGTTAATAAGAGAAATACACTGATGTATATTTAAATTAGTTTTAATACTGATCACGTTCCCCAAAGGAAGCTTCGTAACACTTCCAGCAGACCAGGGTCAGCAGCTGCAGCAGATAAAGCTACCACAAATAAAGTTTTATTAGAACACGGTCAGGCCACTCATTCACACCCTTCCTCAATACTCTGATGCTACAAAGTAGGGCTGAAAGCTTGCAACAAGGACCACACAGCCCACAGACACCCTTACCCTTTACAGACGAAGTTTGCCGCCTCTCCCCGACATGGAAGACTTACAGGAGGAGAGGGTCCGTTTTCAGCACTACTAGGAGACATTTCCACCCAATCTCTTATTAATTTCCTCTTGTTTAGCTTTTTGTGACCTGCCTCATTCCCTCAAGAAACAAGAACTGGTTGTCAAAAGTGTTCAGCAAAAAAAAGGCAGCTCATAAAATATGCAAAATATTCATTTACAATAATTAAAATGCAAATGCCTAAATAAATCAAAACCCTGTTATCCCTGTATTGCAAAACTGGAAAAAATAGCGCTTTTACATTTCTTGCATATTTTCTTCCATAAAGGTGTAGTTTCACAACCAAGGAAAGATCCGGAAAAGTGTCAGAGGTGAGGACCCAGTCCAAGAGGAGCAGATGGAGCCCAGGTCCCGCACAGGTTCGCACTGGGGGCAGAGTCCTGTTCTGATGAGGCGGGCACTTAGCATCAGGGTCAGACAGTAGAAGGCAAAGAAAGAGCAGGCGTGGGCGAGGCAACAGTCAAAGGCGCCCAGCAATCGCTGCCGTCCCGCTCTGTGCAGCAGGACCCCAGCTCTGCTGTCTACCACAGCCACGGCCAAGAACCCCAGAGTCAGCCATGCCCAAACTGCAGCTTCGCTGGGGCAAGGTGAGTGTGGCCATACCTGGGGCCACCCCTCCGCAGCCCAGAAACACCAGCGCCGTGCTCACTGCCTGGCACTGAAGACAGCGGACGCACTGTCAAGCTAAGGAAGCCAGGGCTGGGTGGACCCTTATCCCAGGCGGACTAAAGTGGGTCCCCACTGTGAGGCCACGTGGCTCTGCCACTGTCTGTCACCAGTTACCTGGGACGGCCGCGGTCCCATCTCCCGCCGCCCACACATGGGTGACACCAGCCCCCGCACCCACGGGGAAACACGAGGGAGCCGGGAAGAGACCGGAACCTCAGCACACTCCAGGCCAATGCCGGCTCCCACTCGGCATGAGTGCGAGTTCCACTGCCTTACCGTCCACTTTTTGAACCACACAGCTTTAGGGTCCACGAGTGCAAACAGGCAGATGGGATCTAAAGTCTGTGCTGAGACGAGTCTGCTCGGAGCGTGCTCCACTGACAGCAAGGACAAAGTGCTCTCCACGATTTCTTCCATGTACCTGAGAGGTGGGGAGGCAGCGTGGTGTGTAGGTTAGAACAAAGGCCGTCACACACTGGGTGTTGTATTACAGACTTCCACGTAATTATTATATTGTATATCACTATAAATACAGTAGATATAACAGTGACATGATTTATAGAATGATAAAGTAGAATATAATCTTTAGAAACTTTTTTTTATTTCAGTAAATGACAGAAGTTGAGTTCACGCTCAATATTTCTACTTTAAAAAAATTTTTGTTTTGTTTTGTTTTTGAGACAGGGTCTCACTATGGCTGGCCTGGAACTCAGGGCAAGCCTCCTGCCTCAGCCTCCCAACTGCTAGGGCTGCAGGCATGCACCACCACGCTCAGCCAAAAATTTACGTTCTTGCCAAATGTAACTTTCCCATTCTGACTCACAGGTGCTCCTATGACCTTAACAGAAATTTTAGAGCTAAAAGAACATGTGTAAAGAACATTTTATGGAACTCGTCTAAAGTAGTGAAGACTAAGGACCTGGGCTACACAATCCTGCTTTCACTGTCAGCAGCAATGTGAAGTTGCTGTGTGGATCCCCTCACAAGCTCAGCACCGCATGAAACAGGCTCTGGACCGCAACCTGAGCCACATGACACCTCTCCCACCCTGCGCTCACCACGGCCGTGAGGGGCAGCACCGCGCCCTGCATCCAGGCAGGAAGCCTGGGGACTGACTTACTTCTCTGGGTGACGGATCCAAAAAGATGGCACCTCCTTCTGATACTCACTCAGAAGACGGACCTAGGAGACAGGGTGCAGCGCTGTCACAACTGAGAACCGCAAAGTACAGAGGACTCCAAGGAAGCTGATTCTGGTGAGTAAATACCTTTTGAAGCAAGCGGGTCACCTTAGGGTTGGTGACATCTACACCCGCTGAAACAGTGGTAACGTGATTTTCTCTGGAAAGAAAGTACAGCTCCAAATATTTTGCTGAAAAAGAAAAGCAATGACTGTTACACCATTCATTTACAGTGCTTTCCCAAACAAATGTACTTCATATGCATTTTCCTGAAGTACATGTAAAAGAGAAAAAAATGTGGTGACGCAGTAAGCCTACCTAAGCTTGTGTAAATCTCCTTGGTCATGTGTAACGGTAGAAGTACAAACGTCTGTGCATAGAACTTCAAAATCCGGTCCTATGAAAAGGAAACAGAAGATGCCGCTAAGGTTCTGACCAGATAGAGATGGACTTTCTTCACATACTAAAACCTCAAACCATAACCACAAACCATCCTGAGAACGCAACAGGAATGTACCTATAAGAAGGAGCACATTGTTGTATTAGGTGGCAAAAGAGTAAATCAAATACAGTACCAGAATACACTGCGAAATCTGCTCATGAGAGGTACGGACAGGAAGGTGGAGTGGCAGGAGAGAAGGCAGAAGGAGCAAGGACAGTGAAGGATTCAGCGGCCCAACGACAGAGTAGGCAATGATAAATGTTAGGAACATATATTTCTTGTGTGTGTGTATGTGTGTGTGTGTAACTGGGAATCAAAACTAGGACCTTCATACTGAGCTAAATCCCCAGCCTGTTTCTTTGTTTGTTTGTTTGTTTGAGACAGGAACTAGCTAAGTTGCCCAGGTCGGGCTTGAACTCACAACCCTCTTGACTCAGCCTCCCAAAGGGTTGGGATCACAGGCATGCACCACCACACCAAGCTAACTATATTTCTAAATCCAAGATTTGTTTTTCAGTTTTTTACATGAGTAGTTTCAGTAATTAGACATTTAAATTTTTTTCTAATAATTGTTTCTATCCCCGAGAAAAGTACTATATTTTTTAATTTAACATTATTAAAACTCAAGGTAGAAAGTATCATGAGGCAAATTAATTGAATGAAAAACAGATGTAGTTGGAACAGAGCCAGGCACTAGCAGGCAGTTCAGAATGATGCCATTACATAATCATATGAATTTTAATTATATAAATGCAAATATAGTGAGATTAATCCTAATACTGAAATCCAACTTCTCATTAAATAAAAACAAAGCTGTCTCAAATTTTCTAACCTAGAGAAAACATTAAAAACCTTGCTCACATCATAGGCTCACACGAAATACTTTCCCACATGAAGAGAGATTTTTTTCTAATACCCCAAGAAATCCCTGCTGCACATAGTTTATTAAATGTGCTGGGAAGTCCGTCTGCACTGCGGTAGCAACTGAGAACTATCTGTCACAATCCCCCACCCCTGAAAGCATCACCTGGGTACATGAGAGAGTTCGAGACACAGAATCAAATAGGCAACAGGAATCAAGCAAAAATGTAAGATGAAAAGGATGCTGTCTTTTATTTTCTACCACAAAATGACTGACTTTACTACCATTCTTCCTTTATAACAACTGCTTCAATTTATTAAGTATGGAAACTCACCTTTGTTGCATCTTAATCTCAGTGGCTAACTAAAGCAACTTATACTAACCCAGCGCAAAATGCAACAGGTTAGGAAACAATTACTAAAGTAAGGAAAATCTATTCTGCTGCAATTTTTTCCTATATACGGGAAAGTTCAGGGGATGTTATGACTGCATCTGCTGAGGGAGCTTTGAACTGTTAGAAGGGACCCCAGAGTTCTCCGTTCATCCTGGAAGGTCCTGCATCCGTCTTTGCAGAAGTCTGTGGCACCCCCTGGCGTTGAAAGTCTGCACTGCACGGGAGTGATAGGTAAACGCTGTCCTTCCTGGTCCTAGCACAGTACACGAGGCCGCGGCGTCCCTGACTCCCTGCTGGCTGTCTGTGGCCTCCACGGGATGTGAGCTCAGTGAGCTCCTTCTCCGTCCCACTCCGAGGCTGTTCCAGCACCGACGCTAGAACAGCATGCGCGCTGCAGATGCCCCGCACACAAACGCGGAACAAAAGTAAACGCAGCTCCACCTGATGTCTTCAACTCAGTAAAAAACACCACTTCGATTTTAAAACCAAAGTCGCCCTCACCAACACATCAGCTTTTTTCTTATTAAAAAACTGAATTTGTATGTACCAGGTGATGCTTGAGTAGTGAGGATTTTGCTTATTCACCTCATGGACTCTGAGAACTAGGGCACTGTTAGCCTAAACCACTTCAACCCCACGAGCCGTTCTTAGAAGTCGCACGCCCATCAGGCGCTACACAGAGCAATCGCATATCTGCTGCCTGTAATTTCACAGTGCTAGGGATTCTTCAACATTACTCATCTTATTTCATAATCTCTTTGCTCCACAATTTTCTAGATTTTCTTTCTTAGCCGTTAATGTCTAAATAAACACGTGCCAATGGTTTCTAATTTTTAAGTTTTCACATACCATACACTCTTAAAACATGCATCTCATTTCAGAAGTGACAACGCAAAACACCTGGACAGCCCTGCTCAACATAAAACACGACGCACAAGGTAATCACCGCCCGTCACATAACAAAGCAGCAGGTGCACCGGGGCACGTCAAGGCTGGCCGTGGACAGCAATCCCTGAAAAGGAGACTTCTGACGATCCAAAGGCTGACGCCCAACTCCCGTGACCATGTGAGCTTCTCCAGGGAAATCTGAGGCAGTCCGCCCAGCGATTTCACATCCCACCACCGGTCCTTACACTGAACACCGGGTCGGGGTCGGACAGCGCTGCCGTCAGCCTCTCGCAGAGCACGGCCCAGTTCTCGCAGCCCAGGATGTCGGAGGGAGGAGCGGAGCACAGCACCTGCAGGGCTTCACGTCGCACCTGGAATGTTCCAGAAGATCTGCCTCAGTGCTCAGCTGCTGGGATAGTTCCAACTCTCCAGAAGAGAATTTACCACAATACCAAAAGGCAGGGTGTGGAAAACTTCCATGCCATTTATGCAAAGCAATGGCCTCTTATAAAGAACTCCGGAGAACTGATTTTCAAACCAAGTGCTAAGCGGGGAAAAAAACTAGTTTTCTGTGTCAGGTAAAATAAAATCTGAACCCTGAGTTCCTAGATCGCAAGAAAATCAGAAGGGACCGCAGGGGCAGAATGGGCCCGAGCAAGGCAACAGACTCCCCATCCCGACAGGCATCGCACAGGCCCAGCGAGGGCTGCAACCCTGACCACTGCCCTGGGCGCCCAGACAGCCATCGGCACGAATGAAGGATTCGGGCAAAATAATCAGCGCCGGCTGTCTTCCCTGCCAGGCCATGTTTCCCAACCTTCTGACTAGTGAGGGAGAAAATAAGTCACTCTGCAGTGGAAAGCAAAATTGAATTTTCACAGCCAGTTTACCTCTCCATCGGTTCCAATCAGAATCACTCAAAACCTTGGGAATAGCTCCGCCCCACGGACAGATGGCACCAGGCTGCGTTGCCTGGGAGCAGGAGCAGGTGCCGCCCACCCGCAGCCTCTGAGTGAAGGACGGGAGAGACGCAGCGAGACCCCTGTCAGGCCCTCCGTCTCTAGGTGAGGGACACAGACGTGCGTGAAAATGCCTTGGCATCACCCGAAGGAGTGCGGTATGGGAGGGAGTTAGAAACTAGGAATTAACTTTCAATTTGAGTAATCTCTCCTTTTCAGTTATTAGGGCAAAATCCCATTAAGAATTTAATACTTACAGATGCAGAATACAGAGGACTGAACAAGAAGAGATTTCTACGTAAGACACTTAAGATGAGGACGGTTGGATTTTTATCATATAAAAGTCACATCTCACATCCAATATCTTTTCAAACATTACTTACTAAGAACCAAAAATAAAACAATGCAAACTTTCAAGAGGAAAAAAATGAGTCTGATTTTTCAGAAAAGTTCAATGAGAATAAATCATAACTATTCATGTAGCTTAAAATGAAAAGTTTGAGGAAAAATAAACCAAAAATGGAGAACAAACGACAAAATATACACAAAAATCTTATGATAAAAAATTCAAAGATCCTTATTTTTATTTCAAATTGACTTTCAAATAAAACTACATCATAAATAGTAATTAGTAAAATCTCTTGACATATAAACAGATACAATCCATACACATTTCAAAACACGTCACAGCTAAGTATATAATTTTGCTTACCAAAACTTTGAAGCACTTGTTCACATTTTATAGAAATAGGAAAGCAGGAAATGAATTTTTTTCATACGAGATCACTAAAATGTTGCACACAAGCAACAGTGGAGAACAGTTTTGAGAACAAACGCTTCACCCCTAAAATAGGAAGCTAGGGAAAAGTTTGGTTTTTTTCTAACAAAGCACCGCCCTTCTCTAAGGACAGCGTCCTTGTTCTGCGCCCTTTCATTCTGAGACTGGCAAGCTGGTGGGGCAACAGCCTAGGGTACCCCACACCGCAGGCCCGGGCAAGAGAACAGCTCGAGGGCCAGCGACCGGCAGAGGGGACCTTGCAGCGGCTGCACTCACCTCTCTGGGCTGCCGGGGATCCAGCTGGTCCGCCAGCAACTGCAATTTTCCCGGACAAAACTTGTAACTCTGTAACACAATTGACAAGGCACAGATGTATTCAGTAGACTTACAGCGCTGCTCTAAGAGTGGAGGTAACGTTCAGAACAAGAGAAAGTGACCTGGTTTGTTTTGGCAGCAAACTTAGAATTTTTTCCAAAGGTTTTAAAATGCGAACTGAACATCTCAGTAGGACAATGTACCTTCATGTGTATGAAACCGTCATTTGCTGAGAAAACCGCAATGTGCAGAACAGTGTATAAATCCAGAATGTACCGCGCAGAGTGGAGCAAACGAGAGCAAAAGATGAAACGAGCAGAAGCCAGCGGGGCACCCCGGGCCCAGGCATAAGGTGCAGGGAAGCTTGACGCTCCTATGCGCATGATTCCCCCACCTTTTCTTAGTCTGTCGCCACAGCTGCTCTTTGGTGAAATAAATTCTGAAAGTAAATACCTACATTTAGGAAAAAATGTACAAGGGACAATAAGCTGTTTAAGAAAAAGAAAAGGTCTTTCTCCTCATCAAAAACCATGTAAAAATTCAAACTATCTAAAAGTCCATCTAAAAATAACAAAATTGGCAGGCGTAGTGCCCAGCTGGCATCCAGCACGCACAGAGCACCTCCCTA